AGCTATATGCCAAGCCCGAGCTAGGTGGGGGGCATATAAAGATACATTGTTCATTTTTCTGGGTAAGTCTGTGCTGTGTGTTGAAGAGTGGGCGGGAAATTATAGACAGACAATGCAGGGAAGGGAATTTTAGCAGAGGGAACAGCATGTGCAAAGACATGAAGTTAAGTTTGAAATGGCAAGTCTTCCAAAAATGGAGAGCAGTTTAATGGACCCCAAATCCAGAGGCTATGTAGTTGGGGACATATGCGACTGATTTCCTTCTTGTTGGCGGTAAGGATGTTTCCATTCTTCGTGATTATAAAGAATGATGAGATGAACGTTTTAATGCAAAAATGGTTTCTGGATTTTGCCATGGGATGGTTTCCTACAAGTGAGAATCACAGTGAATTTCAATGGGAGAGTAATCCGGTGGGTCTTGCCCTGTGAGTTTCTCCAGGTCATTGGCCCTTCTGGGTTTCACTTTCCCCGTCTCAGAGCGTAGATCCCAGGCATGAAAAGGACCTTTCTAGCTCTCACACATAGACACCTAGTGGCATCTTCAAACTGGGCTTTGTCCCGGACTTGCGAGAGAGATCTGGATTCCTACTGACTGAGAAAACGATTCATTATTTCATCTCAAACAAGTCACATCCCTCCTGGATGCCTCGATTATTCTATCGGCTCAGCAAGGATACTAAACGAGACTTAGGGAGCCACAAAGTGATGTTCCTGAAGCTTTTTTCTTTTTTTTTAATAAAATAATTCCATGGTCTGGAGCACGGAGTTTCCTTCCACACCATCTCTTGTACGCGGGCTTCTCCTTCTCTTGCTCTCCTGTTCCCTGGTCCATTGCCTCCTCCCTCCTCCTCAGGGGGCTGGAGGAGGATGCAGCCTGGGGGTGCCATCCTCCCTAAGGGTGGCCGCTAACTTTATCCGAGTTCAGCAACTGTTCACCACCAATGTGCTGATACGGCCTGAGTGCCTCTCCGTGGAACCCACTCCCTGGAGACTGTGCCCTTCTCTGGGAAAGTCCCTGAAGCTCTACTAAGTGCCAAACTCGCTTTTTTTTTTTTTTAAGATTTTATTTATTTGAGAGAGAGAGAGAGCATGTGTGGGTGTGTGGGTGTGTGTGTGAAAGAGAGAGAGAGAGAGAGAGCACGAGCAGGGGGAGGGGCAGAGAGAGAGAAGCAGGCTCCCCACTGAGCAGGGAGCCCAACATGGGGCTCAATCTCAAGACCCTGGGATCATGACCTGAGCCAAAGGCAGACGCTTAACCCACTGAGCCACCCAGGCGCCCCATAGTAGGGGGGAGGTCAATCTTTGTTGAATACTAATTCTATCACATTTTGACATGGTTTGCTGTGAAGTTTAAAAGAGATAATAACTTTTAAGTGCTTATAATAATATTTGGCACGTAATATGGGTTCAATGACAAATACCCTGTGAAAAATTCATACTAGGGATGATATTAATACTGGTGTTTGTATTAGTATAATCACATAACAGATACTCTTCAAAATACACATTCAGGGATGTCTGAGTGGCTCAGTTGTTTAAGTGTCTGCCTTTGCTCAGGTCATGATCCCAGGGTCCTGGGAGCTAGTCCTGCATCCAGCTCCTTGCTCAGGAAGGAGCCTGCTTCTCCCTCTGCCTGCCACTCCCCCTGCTTGTTCTCTCATTCTCTCTCTCTCTGACTAAAAAAAAAAAAAAAATCATATTTAAAAAAAAAACCCAAAATACACATTCACACCACACTGTAAATGTCTGATAAGATAGGGTGACACAGACCTCAAATGTTTATGTTGAACAGCAGATGTTTAAGTCAAAGGGGTGAATGCTTAAATGTGGACTTTGGAGAATCAGTAACATCTAGCAGCTGAGAAAAAGGGTTCTGGAATTAGCTAAATTTAGGTCATAATTCCAGTTCTGCCACTTTTTTGTTGAGTGGCCATTGGCTGGTTTATTAATCTTCTTTTTTTGCTTGGTTTTGTTTTGTTAAATGGTGATTGGCATATTTTTTTAAGTTTGCTTATTTAAGTAATCTCTATACCCAACATGGGGCTTGAACTCACAACCCTGAGATGAAAAGTCACATGTTCTTCTGACTGACCCCACTGGGAGCCCCTAGTTTCTTATCTTCTCCACGTGTCATAGAGCTGTCATGTGAACGGGAGAAGATATTGTAAGTAAGACATGTAGTAAAGTGCTTGGCACACAGTAAGGTCCATAAATGCTCACGGTCTGGAGTTGGGGGGGGGTTTGACAGAAAGCCTCTCCCGGAGCCCTGACCCTTCCCGGATGGTGGGCACTGCTTCAGCTGTGTCTCCTGGTCCAGCCAACAAACGTTCTCACGGTACCCACTGTGTGCCAGACGTTTCTCTGTTCGACCCGTGCATGCCCACAGCTCACTTCCTCATGGTGAATTCCAATGGAACATTAGTTCCATTGCATGTTCCCTAGGGTGTCAGACTGAAAATGACAGCATGAGCGTCCTGCGGCAAGTCGAATTTGGGAAGCTGAATTCGAGAGCACTCGACACCTTCTACAGCTCTAGGGCTTTGAGATTGGCCTATGCGCGTGTGCCTTGAGGGCTGAGGGCTGTGGGTGTTGGGTCTCCTGTGACCGCGGACTCCTTCTTATGGAAGCATCGGGGGTTTCCTTCACATGTCCTGAGCATGCATCTTCCTCTCCACCCATTGTCACTGCCTGCGGGAGGTGTGTCCCCACCTTGCTGGGCACCATAGCCCTGTTCCTGGTTTCCAGCCCACCGCAAGGGGACTTAGTGTCATCTTTCCAAACTTCATGTCCTTTGAGCCATATACTGTCCCCCCACATGCATGGTGTGGGGACCTCCTCTCTCTTCCTTTGCCGTGCCCGTTCTGTTCACCTTCCAGGACTCCACCCCCACTTCCCGACAGGAAGACTCCTGTTGTCCTGGTCTGGGATGGGAACCGCCCCTCTTTTGGTTATTTCTTCTTTTAAAAATTTTATTATTATTATTATTTTTAAACATATAATGTGTTATTTCTTTCAGGGGTACAGGTCTGTGAATCATCAGTCTTACACAATTCACAGCACTCACCATAGCACATACCCTCCCCAATGTGCATCACCCGGCCACCCTATCCCTTCACCCCTCTCCCCCCCCACAACAACCTTCAGTTTGTTTCCTAAGATTGAGAGTCTCTTATGGTTTGTCTCCCTCTCTGGTTTTGTCTTGTTTCATTTTCCCTCCCTTCCCCTATGATCTTCTGTCTTGTTTTTCAAATTCCTCATATCAGTCAGATCGTATGATAATTGTCTTTCTCTGATTGACTTATTTTGTTTAGCATGGTACCCTCTAGTTCTATCCACGTCATTGCAAATGGCAAGATTTCGGTTTTTTGATGGCTGCATAGTATTCCATTGTATATACGTACCACATCTTCTTCATCCATTCATCTGTTGATGGACATCTGGGTTCTTTCCATAGTTTGGCTATCGTGGACATTGCTGCTATAAACATTCAGGGGCACTTGCCCCTTCGAATCACTACATTTGTATCTTTAGGGTAAATACAGTAGTGCTATTGCTGGGTCATAGGGTACCTCTATTTTCAACTTTTTGGGGAACCTCCATGCTGTTCTTCAGAGTGGTTGCACCAGCTTGCATTCCCACAGCAGCGTAGGATGGGAGACCCCCTTTTTGGACCCTCTCTCATACCTAACGGTACTGCCTGGCACCCCCATGCTTCCCACTGTTTCCTTCCCAGCATCTTCCGGGGCACCTCCACATGGGGACTGCTGTGTAGCCCCGTGGCTAAGCTCATAGGCTCTGTGGCCAGAGGGTGGCGATTTGTGACTATGGGCACGTGCCTGGGCCTCAGTGTCCTGCCCTGTGAGGTAGGAATCATGACCACAGCAGCTCACAGGGCGCCACTCAGAGGGAGAAGCAGCTTTAGCAATCCATTCCCCGCGCCCTCTCCTGGTGGGGAGGTGGCGGAGTATGACGGAAGGAGCTCAGACCTGGAGCCTGGCTCTGAATCTCAGCTATGGGACAACAGGCAAATGACTATACACCTGAAAACCTAAACTTCCCTCTCGGCCATATGGGGTGATTCAATTTCCCTTTCGTTGGGTTGAACTGAGGATGACCAGAGGCGCTGTGTGTACGGAAACTGACACAGGGCAGGGGTTTAGTAAATACAGTTTTGACAATTACGTAGGGGTTGCATTTGACCAGTCCCACGGACCTAGGAAATGTGACTCCGGGGCTCCCTGAAAGCCAACATGGGAAGGCACTGTGGAGGACAGATGATTCTACAACCTCATTTACAGAGGAGGAAATCCTACTTTTGCTTCCCTTTTACCCTGAGCATGGTGTGAGGGTCACCTGCCTTAAGATGAAAAAAGCAATTGTAGTCATTATTATTACCCTATTTAATACCAACCCTGAAAATTCGGGGTACAAGGGGGCTTGAAGACACACCCAGGTGTCCTTGGCCTCCAGGAGGGGATAGTTCTGTTAGCCCTTTTTCTCACGCTCCCAGGCCCAGTGGCTTGTCCACACCCGGGACAGCATTCTCCTGACATCGTGAAAGGCACAACCCTACTGTAGCTCCCCGGTGTTTGCAAAGGCGCTGATGCCCGGCACGGGTGTTGCATTTCACAGCCTACGAAGCCCTTTATCCTGCACCACACATCGCTAACCCCTCACTCCTCTAGAACTTTACAGTGTGTACATCACAAAGCATCTGCTGGGATCAGGGACGCCGACCCCAGCCTTACAGATGAGGACATGTAGGCCCAGGGAGTCACACTTGGGCCCGAGACCCTGCCTCTGGGGGTGGCCTTGGGGACGAGGTTCCCCGAGGGGAAGAGGTCCGCTTCCGGCTCTGCCCTGGTGCCCTGAGCTCGGCCTCCTGCCGACGATGGAGCCTTCCTGAATGAGGCTTGGGAACGCTGCCACTGTTCAATGAGCTAATGGTGAAATCAGAAACTCAAGGGCTGGTAGCAGAGGCAAAAAAAAAAAAAAAAAAAAAAAAGACAAGCTTTGATTCATGGGCCAGAGGATCAGTGAATGGGGAAGACAGCCCGTGGTAAGAGAGGAAAAGCCTGAGCTTCTAGCAGAGTCCCTCCCAGGGAGAGGAAGGTCAGGCTAGCGGAGGCCTCGGTCAGCATCGGAGCCCGATGGGGGAGGCGAGGGAGCACAGCGGTTCTGTCCGAGCAGCCCTGGTGAGCCCCATCTGTGAACGGGGGTGGGAGGGGGAGAGCATATGGGTTGTCACGGGCTCCCCCAGGCAGGAGGTGTGAAGTCAGGTGGTAGGAGTGAGGTGCAAAAGAGGGGCTTGCCAAAAAAGAAAAAACACAAACCCACCCAGAAACTTCTTTCGTTAGGACAAAGTGGAGAGAGTGTCCTGTCTCTTTAGAAGACAGGGACCAAGTCTCTTAGTTGCCTCTACTGGTCTTGAATGAAAGAACAAGGGAATTTTTACGGTGTCAGATCTGGTTCCTAGTGGCGGGTAAGTAGCTGGGGTCACGAAAATGTTTAGAAAGGGAGTAACTCGCACGTCTAGGGGGTTACCACCCACGGGGGGGCCTTTCCCATCCAGGGTCTTCCGTCTGCTCTTCTTACAGCCTCCCTGAGCTGGGCGTTATCATCACAGGACAGGTGAGGACGCAGGGATCAGAGAAGGGCAGTGATTTGTCCCAGGTCACACAGCTGGTATGTGCCAGGAGTGGGCTTCCCATCCCCAGCTCCTTCCCATACTTAATTTTAATTTGGGAGGAGATGGAGATGCCTGAAGGGGGTGATGAAAAAAGCAATTGTAGTCATTATTATTACCCTATTTAATACCAACCCTGAAAATTCGGGGTACAAGGGGGCTTGAAGACACACCCAGGTGTCCTTGGCCTCCAGGAGGGGATAGTTCTGCGGGGAACATGACAGTGTATGGAGGAGAGTGTTATTGTACCTTGACTAGGTACAGAAGTTTCTCTAGCCCCTTTACGCTGGTGAACATCTCTGCAAACGTACTCTTCGGCATGAAGGCAGCTAAGTTGCAGCAAGAAATCCTCCGACTCCCCCAAATTTTAGCTTATGCACCAGTTTCCCAAATTAACGGAGATGTCTTCCGTGTGCCGGGAGGGTGACAACGAAACTTCCTGGCCTGAGATGGGGCAACAAAGGTAATTAATGAAGCCCATTTGCATGAAGGGCCTCAGCTTTCGAGGTCAACAGGGAAAGGTGATCACGCATCTTACTTTGTCTAACAACCGCTCCCACGGTGCTCCGTTGAGCCTCATCCTCTGGCTGGCCTCCACTCAGAACAACAGACCCGTCCTGTTACTTTCTGATCACTTGTGGTTATTGAAAAGAATCATTTCATTTTGATCGTTAAGACTCAACCCTGTTCATTTTAAAAGGTCGATCTCACGTGAACGCTGGGCTCCACACCAGGGTCTTGCGTGTGTGTTGGCGGGGGGCACGAGTGTGCATGTGTGCCTGTGCACGTGTCTGCAGGTGTGTTTGCACGTGCATATACACGTGCACCCGTGTTCATGCCCGGGCATGTGAACATACGTGCGTGTGCTGCTGTGTGTGCCTCGTCTGGAGTCTGGTCCCAGAGAAAGCTGCCTCCTCGTGTGCCCGCGCCCTGCAGGTGGGCTCTGCTCTTCTGGGTGGTTCAGACCAGCTGCTTCTTGCAGACAGCCCCGTGTCAGAGATGGCAGCTTTACTACTCTTCTGCCCCAGGGTTTTGCCTGTATTTCTGTCCAACACGTTGAGGCTGCCTCCTGTGAGGCGGGTGCCTGAGGGCAGGCTCTCTCAGGAAGAGGTGCCTGTTGGAGGCAGCCCTGGCTCAGCCTCTACCTCCTTCTCTTAGTGCTCATGGTCAGCAGGGGTCCGCTCACGGCTCTGACTCCTAGCGTCCCTGATCTTGGAGGCTGGCTCACAGCTACAACTCCCAGCGTCCCTCCCTGATCTCAGCAGGGGGCTGTGACATTGACCTGAGCCCTGAATTTCTACTTTCAGGTCTGCTCATGCCCCGGGAAACCCACAGGTCCTTCCCACACCTAGCAGTGGGCAGCCTCCTGTTTGCCCCACAGTCTCCCTGTCGCTTTCTCCACACTCCTTGCAAATCTCCTTGACTCCGGGGGAGGGCAGGGCAGGTGGTCCAGGGTGTTCCAGGTCTTGTAGATGAAGGGTCCGACGCGCCTTCTTAATCCCACCCCAGACTGACCTCTTGCATGTCTTGCTGATAAATGCTGTCCTGCCCGGAGTCTCCTGCCCCTGGGGCTACAGGACGTCCTAGGAATCAGGCCTTCTTGGAGACAGTCTGGAGAATTCAGCCCCTTTGTCTACAGTGAACCTGTGGAGTCTCTTCTGGGGGACAGTGGGGTGGGTTAGAGCCAGACCTCCCGGCGTCCTGTTACCTGAGGTCCTAGCCTGTGCCAGGCACGGCCAGGGGCTTCCTAAGCACCATCTGGTGATGCTTCTCATGACGCTCAGAGCACATTCTGTTATCCCCATTTTGTGGATGAGGAAACCGAGGCTCAGACTGCACATGGCAGATCATAAACGTGAATCCAGGTCGGCCTGTCTTCTGAGCCCAAGGCCATGGGTGTCGGTTGTCTGCAGGACCTCCCCCCCCCGAATTCATTCCTAATTCTGTGGTCACAGCACCCTGATTTCTTGGAGGTATAGTCTCAGGGCGTCCTCAATTCAGGTGACTTGCCCACTGCCCGTTCTTAGACGGCTGACCCAAACTCGACTTCTTGGACCGTTCGTCTAAAACAGAGAGAGATGTGACAAACACCTCCCCTTCCAGCAGGAAAGCCACGGACAATAGAGTTGGAGCACGGGCACCCCCGTGGGGTGTGGTGAGCAGCTGAGCCACGCCGGCTCCCCAGGACCTGGAGCTGCCCTGCTCCGGCCCCCACCCACCCCCCGCCCCGGGGCAGACCCTCGTTCTCTGGCTCGCCCATCGCTTCAGCCAACTAGCCGATGTCCTCCCACCAACTACCTCGGTCCCCCACGTTATATGCTCACAGCTGGTTTCCGTTGTTGTCATCCAACAAGCCTGCCTGGTACCTAAGCGTGCTTGCAGCCGGGGTCCGGCTCCGGGCCTGATGGGAGCCCCGCTATGCTCCGGGTCTCCGGGACTCCGTGAGTTATGACCTGAGAAGCACTCAGGACAGGACCTGACACTCAAGATCACTGTTCTGTCCTTGGGCTCTGGTTCACATCAGGGGCCCAGCAGGGCGTGGGGTCACGCCGGACCCTCCTGGGCCTCAGAGCTGTGGGGGCAGGGCGAGTTTGGGGGAAGCCGGCCCCGCTGCTGTCTGCGGAGCATTCCAGGGTCCCCGGCCTGGGGCTGATCATCTTGTCTGGCAGTTCTGTGGGCTCTCACCAGCAAGAGGCAGGGCCCTAGCAGGGAAAGGCCAGACTCGCCATTCTCCCCATCACTACCGTCATCCTCATTGTCGGAAAGAGTGACCATCACTACTGTCTGAGCACCTACCATGGGCTGGGCCCTTTATGAGATTAAGAACGGCCCTAATCACGAAAGCAGCAGCAACATAGTTTGCTATGGTTACTCTTTCCAGAACTCTGCTGCAGAGGTGTATACCCATTATATGCATGAGTAGGTTGAGGCAGGGGAATGTTGCTGGGGACAATGGAAAGTCCTTGGGTTCTGCTACGTGTCATTCCTCAGCAGTGGCAGTGGCTGCTTTCTCCTGATTTACTGTGAGGCAGGCACGGAAGTGTTTGATTCTTCCCAAGACAATAGTTTGACCCACAGGAGAAGCACACACCCTTCTCCTATGAATGTGATTTTGTTCCTGCTCCTTAGAAAAAAATCATCCCGGCTCTGGGATGCTAAAGGGAACTTCACCTCCTTCCTGGGTCATGTCCAGATCCTGGGGACAAAGGGCGCTCTCCTTACCCATGCTCCCTACACAGTGATGACTCCCAGACTCCTACCCTCCGTCAGACCCCTGTCCTGAACTCCAGACTCATACCTCCAGCGCCCTTCGCACTTGCAGCCAAATGTGGGTGGACACCGCAAACTCCATGCCCCTGGGCCCCTGGTCTCCTCCAGCCCCAGCCCCTGCTTCTCCTGTAGCTCACTCTACTTGATTACCGTCCCTCTCGTGCTCAGTCCCAAAGCCCCGGAATCCTCGTTGCTTCCTTTCCTTCTTTTATCCCACATTAGGAAATCCTATATTCCCAATCGATTATTTCTCTCTGCTTTGTCCTGGTTTGAACCACCATCCTCTGGCGCTTGGATTAGCCCATTGGCTTCCTAACTGGTCTTTCCACTGTGACCCCAGCTCTACCTCCATCCATTCCCACTGCAATGACTGAAATGATCCTTTTAAGACATAAGTTAGACTGTGTCACCCCTGGGTGGTGACTCCCCATTTCACTCTGAGTGAAGTCAAAGGTTCAAGGTAGCCTCCAGGAGCCTTCCTGACCTGGGCGCATATCTACAGCTCCCCTCTGCCCACTCAGTTCGGCCCCCACCCTGGTTCCCTTGCCTTCCCCCTGCACACCATACACCCTCCTGCCTCAGGCCCTTTGCACTGGCCACTCCCTCTTACCCCAGATACGCGCATAGCTCACTCCCTCACTTTCTTTGAGTCTCTGCTCAACTGGTTGCTTCCTGTCAAGCCACACTAGGATTGCATCATCCACACCCCACCCCCAAAACTCCCAAGCCCCTCACCCTGACCCCCTTTTTTTGGTTTCATACTATGTGTTGCCTCCTGGCAACTTACACAACACACTTAAGGAGCATTAGGATGGCTATTTATTGTCTGACTCCTGTGGCCCATATCTTGGCTCCCAGAAGTGAAGCTCTTTGCCTGTTTTGCTCACCCACATGCCACAGGATTCTGGTACGTGGCTCAGAACATGGGGGACGCTCTATAAACCACTTCCTTATCACTTTCCTCTGATCCTCGACTTGCTCCCTGAAATTGGGGACCAGGAGAGCATTGGTTTATTCCACTGTACTAGTTATTGTGAGAATCCTCAGGAGGCCAAGGGATCCTGCCTGGTAGGTTGCTGACCTGGTCCCTGCCCCCACTTCTAGGCGCATTCTAATCTTGTTCTCACCTTTAGGCTCTATCAGTGTTAAAGCCCTGACAAGGCGCTGTGCTGTCATACCTCAGGCCCTTTGCATGTGCTGCTATGCCTCTCACCTGGTGGACTCCTAGGTATTAGTCAAAGCCCCGGTTAGGTGTTGCCTCTTCCCTGAGGTCCTCCATGATACTTCCACCCTCCAAAGTCTGGAGAGAGCCCTTCCTTCTTTCCTTCTTTCTTTCCTCTCTTCCTTTCTTCCTTCCAACCATTTTCCTTCCTTCCTCTCTCCCTCCCTCCCTCCCTCCTTTCGTTCCTCTGAGTGACTTCTGTACCTCGTGTGCATTTCTCAGTGTGTGCGTCCCCTATCTCACTGGGGCTCATCTTCAAGTCTGTTGCACCATCAGACTGTGAGCTCCTTGAAGGCAGAGGCTGGGCTCTGTGTCCCGAGCTGCCCCAGAGCCTGGAACACAGCAACTGCCTCCCCAGTGTGTGTCTGTTGCGGACGACAGAGCAAATGTGACATGAGCCGGGAGAGAACAAAGACTGTTCGAAGACCCTTTCAAGGTCACCGGCTGGCAGGGAATGAACAATGTCTTATTATTTGATCATTTATTTATACTCTATTTTCAACTAGGATTTGAGGCAGCCCGAGATGAAAGGCACAGATATGACAAAAACAAAGCCCTGTGTCTCAAACACCTTCCTCTCTTCCTCAACTGCCTTTTCCTCACTGGCCTATAAAGACCCCCAGCCTCTGTTCCCTTAACAAAAGTGCCCCAGGGCTCTGCAGCTCTCCGTCCCAAGGCAGCCGGTGCCTCCAGCCGGGCCTCCGATGCCTGTCCTCCTCCTTCCACCTGCCCACCTGTCAAGTGGGCAGCTCCTAGGGAGGGCAGCGGCCACCTCTGTTGCTAAACACAGTGGACACTTGCAGACCTAGATCTCGTGAGCTCCGGCAGCACCAGACCTCCGGACATCTCCCCCCTCCTCCAGCCCCTTACGTCCCTTGGCTCATATGCTGCATCCTCTTGAAGTTTCTTTCTGCTGCTCGGTTTCTCCTTCCCAGCCCCGCTGGCTGCTGGCTTTCCTCTGCCCATCCCAGAACCATCTGAGCCCCCAGGAACCCCTCTCGGGCCCCTCTCTGCTCACGCCACGCACTTTATCTGAGCAGCCCTCTGTTCTCAGTTAGGGATTCTTTAGGGTCCTTCTAGAACCAGTCGCCGCCTAAACCTCAGTGGCTGTCTCACTTACATAAAGTCCGTTTGGCAGCAAGGGGAGGGAGGGGCGCTCTGCTTCCTCTGGTCATCTAGGTATACAGGCCCCTTTCGCTCATCTGCCCCTGCCCCTGGCTCTGTGCTGCGCGAGGAACATGCCTCTGGATGGGGGGGGGGTGGAGGGGGCATCGTGGACAAGAGTTCGAGGTCCCCAACTCAGCCTGTCCACTTGGTGTTCCCACCACTGGTGATGGTTACCCTGTCTCTCTGAGCATCCGTTTTCTCTGTCTGGAGAGGAATATGCCACTTTTAGGTTGTTCTGAGGTTCTGTGAAAATATAGATTCCTCAGGCGCTGATGAGGGAGTTCTCTGGGGCAAGGACAAGCTTCCTGCTCTCACATTCACACATTTCTTGGGCCCAGGAGACCTGCCAGCTGGCTGATCCCAGGAGTTTAGCATGTGGTTGGAAGAAGGAATCAAGAACCAGCCATGGGTAGCTTGCTGCTGGGGACTGTGCAGGGACATCCCGGCCAGAGGGCAGCTCTCTGCCTGGCTCCTCCTCTGCTCATTCATGGCCCAGGGGATGGACTCAGCCTCTGCGTCCACGCTCAGAGCCCGCGCTGGATGTGCAGCATGGTTGACTGTCAAATCCATCACGCTCAGTCAATGGCATGACAGTGGGCATATGTCACTGGTTCTTGAAGCCAAACAGGCTGGGCCTGCTGTCCTCTGTAAGGAAAGGAGAGTTGACATTGATTGAGCACCTACTGGGTACCAGACATTCTCCTAAGCGTTTTACACCCACACTCATTGAGTTCTCATAACAGCCCTGGAAGGAAGGGCTCAGTGCCCCCTTTCACAGACTCAGACACCAGGACTTGGGAAGCTTGGCATTTGAAAATATCAGTAAAAGCACAGTGACGAGGACACTGCTACGTGCAGCGGCTGATGTCTGAGCTCTCACCTGACCCACATCTTTGACTCTCTTAGGACCGTAAGACAGAAAGGCAAGAGGCACAGACTGGGGGTGGGAACCCCTGGGCTTGAAACCTGGAGTCCAGCGCTCAGCAGATAAGCTACCTTCTAGAAGAAGCCACTTCTACCTCGTAAAGGCTCAGTTTTCTCATCTGTCAAATGGGCATGATTATGCTGATCTCCCAGGGGCAAGTGGGAGAGCTTAACAAACCTTCAAAATCTGTTACAGAAGTAGTCATCTCCTGTTTAGACATTTCTTAGGGGCTTCTGTTTACTCTGACTCCTTCCTCTGCATCCTAATCTCTGCATAGCAGCTAGAGGCATTACTATTTTGGAAACAGAATCAGTTCGTGTCACATCCTTGCTTAAGACCTTTAAATGGATTCACACGTGTTCCAAGGACCCTGTATGATGGGCCTCTCTCTCTCTCTCCCTCAGGCCTATCTCTTGCCCCTGCCTCTGCCTTTAGCTCTCTCTCTCTCTAGCCCCCTAGCCATCTTTCAGTTCCTTCACTGCATTAGGCTCTCTCCTGCCCCAGGACCTTTGCACATGCTCACCCCTCTTCCTGGAACATGCTTTTCTCACCCTCTTCATGCTCTTCACCTGGCAACACCACTGCCCCTTCAGATTGCTATAGAAACTTTGTACTCTCAGGGACGTTCCTTTCTACTGCCTCTATCTCAATTAGGTTCCTTGGCCTCCCTCTTCTATATGACTCTGCATGCTTCCTTTGCCCCAACAAGCTGTGCTTGCAGTTTTACTTGTGCATGTGATTTGGTTGGGCTTTGATGTCCGTCTCTCTCTCAGAATGTGAACCTCAAGAGGACAGCCCCCCCCTTGTCTAAGGGCACTTGGCGTTGAATGAATGGAGATGCTGCCTGCTGTTTCCCCAGGATGCCCGCAACGGCTGCCTCGGTCCTGTGCTGGAAAAGGTGAGTGTGAGGAAGCATCTGCCCCAGACGCAGAGGCTAACAAGCAGTTCCAGAGCTTTCGTCCCGTCTCGGATCTCCTTGAACCCTCACGATAGTTCAGCTTTGATTTCTTCATTTGTAAGATGGGAGTAACTGGTGGGAAAGTTCGATGGAATATGGTATGGAGGTGTCCAGCGCAGTGAAGGTATTTTAAAAATTCTGCTCTGGAGGCGCCTGGGGGGCTCAGTCAGTGAAGCCTCGGACTCTGGATTTCAGCTCAGATCATGATCTTGGGGTTGTGAGATCGAGCCCCACCTCGGGCTCTGCTCAGGAAGGAGTCGGCTTAAGAGTCTCCCTTCCTCTCCCTTTGCCCCTCTCCCTCCTCGAGCACTCATGCACCCTCTCTCTATCAAATAAATACACACATCTTAAAAAAAAATTAAAAAAAAATTTTGTTTTATTTTAATTTTGTTTTTATTTAAAATTTTACCCCATCCCCATTTTACAAATGTCCCTCTGTGAGGGGTATTTCTCCCATTTTTCAGGGCAGAACCTGAGGACTAGAGAAGTTCAGCAGTTAGCCCAAGAACGCAGCAGCAGAGCTGGGCCCAAGATGGGGTTCTCTGCACTTCCTGTGAGATCGGGCTGCTCCGTCCACCTGCCAGCCATCGGGAGCTGTCCCAGGATCCTCCCTGTGGAGAAGGCCCTCTGCGCTCGCAGGCCCTGTGGAGAAGCAGGAAGATCCTCCCAGAAGAGCAGCCAGCGAAGCCTCCTCTCCTGCCACGGTCCCAAGTCCCCTCCTCACAGCTTCCCTCTGCAGAGCCAGCCCCCAGTGACCAGGTCTCCTCTCCCTGGGACCACTGGGACACCGCTTGGCAACTGACCTATATTCCTCTCCAGCGCTATTTGCCGCCTGAGTCCCCTCCCACCCAGCACACCACCCCACCCTGCACCGACACCTCCATCCATCCAAGGACGTTGTAAAAATAAAATGATCACCACCTGGCCCTCTGGGAGCCGCGGCTATACAGCACGTCCTGCTCCGAGGGGGAGGCTTTCACAGCCTGGTTCTCCGTGGAGGAGGAGCAGACGTGGTGGTGGGGGGGGGAGGACTTGGGAGGAGAGACGGGAGGCAGGTAGCACTGCTTGCAGGGCGCAGGGGCGGGACAGATGAGGCGTGAGGCGTGGAGGAGAATGGGGAAGAGGTCAGGGAGGAAGGGCACAGGGAAGAGGAGTCACCAAAACAGGTGTAGGGATCTGGGGTCCCTGAGTCGCAGGGACCTGGGGTAAAAAGCACCAATGGAGCCTCAGAAAGGTGCTGAGTGGGTAGAAGCAGATCCAAGAAGCGTCCCGGGAAAAAGCCCGTGGAAGGGGAAGAGCTGGGGGAAGGGGCCCAAGACAGGCCAGAGGGGAGCACCCAGGACAGGGGACCGGGCTTTTGTGGGAGATAGAGACTGAGGGCGTGAGAGAGTCCAGGACCAGCCTAGAGGCTGCAAAGTCAAGAGTCGAGGGTCGGCTGGCAAGACAGAGAGTGGGTTCAGCTGGTGTGGGCACCTGGGGCCTGGGGCACTGAGCAGACCAGCCTCTCTGCAGGCTGCATGGACCGTAGCCCGACAGCTGGCAGGTGTGATCTGCAGAGCTGGCCCCCCGCGGGGTCTTCTTGGCCTGGACCTCATTTCCTCTTGTGGACAGATTTCGAGAAAAGTCTTCAAGCCCAGCATGTCCTGTCTCCGTTATGTTTAATGGTCTGTTCTTCGGCTTCTCCTACTGACAGAGCAGGACTTGCACCCAGGACTCTCAGTTCTCAAAGCCTGCACTCTCGCTGAGAGACGCTGTTGCCTCTAGTTAGGGTGGAGCGCACGGAGATTCCGAGAAGTTCTGAAAGGGGGGGCGGGGAGCTGAAGCAGGAGGCTAGAAGGGAGGGCGTCCAGGCACAGATACTGCATGGACAAGACCTTGGCAATGGAGAGGGAAATGCACATGGTGGGGGGAGGGGGCACATCGAAGCATCGAAGAGGGCAGCACCTTTCCATCCCTCTTGGCTGCGCCTTATCTGTCGTACATCGGTTCCTACCTCCCTGTCACTCAGCACCCCCTTTTCTGTCCCATTTGCAGCCCCAGCCCTTCCATATCTGCCTCACTACATTCCACTCCTCCCTCTGCTGGCTCACAGAGGTCCCACCTTCCCCAAGAACGCCCCTCCTCATCTTGCCCACCCCCCACCCCGGACAGTGACTTCCTTACCTGCCAGGGCCCAAGAGGAGTGTCACCTCCTCCAGGAAGCCTTCCATCATAGTTAGGACACGTGATCTATTATAAAAACACTCCAGGCCAGCAGCAGCTTGACAAATAGGAGTGTATTTCTCACTTGGAGCGCCGTTGAGTGAAAGTTGGCTGGGGTGGGGGGTGGTGGGCTCTGCTCCATGTTATGTGGGGGCTTGGGTTCCTCCTGCAGGGCCTCCACTGTATTCTAGGGCAGAGATGGGCAAACTGTGATCTGTTTTTATAAATAAAGTTTTATTGGGACAAACCCATGCCCGTTCAGCTACGTAGCTGCTGAGGCGGCCCTAGTGTTACCACCATGGCCCCAGGAGACAGACCATAGGCTCTGGAGGCCTAGGAAGAGAGAGTGGGGAGGTTTCAACGGGCTGGGCCACGAACTGTTGGGCCTCACCGGCTCCCACGTTCCACTGGTGACAGCTGGTCACGTGACCCCACCGAGCTGCGGGGAGCTGGGGAATGGCACACACACAGCCCTGTCCCTCCACACTTTGCCCTTGGCTTTGTGCCGCTTCCCCCCCTGCTCCCTGCACGCATGCCCCCTCAAGATGGGAAGCCCTGTGTCCGTGGAGGCCAAGACTGTGTCTGTCTTGTTTATCACTGTCTGCCTGCCCCAGGCTCAGCACAGACTATATATTCTAGAAATAGTTATTGAAGAAAGGGATGGATTGGTCTGTCATGTGTGCTCCTGGGGCACTTTGTAAATATCCCGGACCTGAAACTGACATCTCTGGGTTACACTCACTCCGTGCCTGTTCCCCCCCACCCGCCCCTGTCTCTGTTCCACCAGTTTCTTACCACGCATCTCCATGTGGTTACACTGTGCCAGGCCCCGGGCATGTCTTTGTGAACAAAACAGACCCAGCCGTGTGCTCAGGGAGCTTCCAGTCCAGCGGGAGAGACCGGCCAGGAGCAGAGAATCATACCATCGTGCCAATAAATGGAAAGTGACAATAGTGATCGCGTGCTCTGAAAGGAAGGGGCTGAGCAGGTGCTCTGAGCACATCCAAGCAGAGATGATCTAATCTGTGAGGCAGGGAGGGCTTCCCCGAGGAGGTGACTTTGGGGCTACAACTCGAACCACACGCAGACATGAACCAAGTGGAGGGAGGGTGGGGAGCGGCGTGTGCCAGACAGGGGCATATGAAGGCCCCGAGATCACAGACAGCACGACCTCCCTCCCGATGACAGCGACATCATTCACGTCACTACAGCTCAGACTCGCTGAAGGCTTACTATGTGACAGGCCCTGGATTAAGTTCTTTACATGTATTATGTCAGTTAATCTGCAGGATGCTATGAGAGAGGTACTCACTAGGGCACAAGCTGTTAAGGTCCAGCCCCTGCTTCTTCAGTCTGCCTCAGAGGTCCCCTGAGGACGGTTCTCCTGCTTCTCCTGCTCTGGCTCTGCCGCCTGCAGGGGGTGGGCTGAAAGTGCTGGGGAGTCAGAGCCACTTCCCAGGAGCACCAGCACAGACACCACCCCCCATGGGGATTTGGGGGGTAAATGTCCCCTCGGTGGGGAATTCAGTGTCGGTCCTCCCACAGCCTCTCTGAGCCCCTCCCCCTGACATGGAGGCTCTGTTGCCCACAGGAGTGGCCCCATCAGGGCACATGTCACCAGCTCCCTCCCTCCCTGAGCTCCTGGCACCACTCCAAAACAACTATTTGCTCCTGAATACTTGTCTCAGGCTCTGTTTTGGGAGTAACCCAAACTAAGATGCTATGAAGTGTCCCATTTCATAGATGAGGAAGCCGAGGCACGGAACTGATGGAAGGTCTTTGAAACTAAAGCCCCAAGTGTGTGCACGTGTGTGTGTGTGTGTGAGTGTGTGTGCATGTGTGAGAATGCACATGTGTGAGAATGCATGCACATGCACCCACATGTATGGTTTCATGCGTGTGCCCATGCCTGTGTGCAACAGTCATGCACTTGTGTGTGCTGGAACAGAGGAGGCGGGTGAGGCGTGTGTGCAGGCCAGGACAAGGGTCTAGGTCACTAACTTAGAGCACAGGAGGCTGTTCAGTGCTCTCTGCAGACGGGTGACACGTTCTGATTGATGGTGGGACACAGTCACGGTGGTGACTGAGACAAACCCGAGTTAGAGGAGCTAGAGCACATGCAAGGAGGCGGTTGGCAGTCACTGGGGGCACCCTGGGGACCCACCAGGATAGGGACACTGAGCTCACTCATTGGTCTCTGGAGATCCGTGGGGCCCTGTGAGAGCCAGGGAATATTTGGGTGTCCGAGGGGGCTTCGTTTCCCGCACCCCGCCCAGAATTCATCTCTCTAGGAGGAACACACACTTGGTATCCTAGCTGTTCCCCTCTCCACATCCCTTTCCTGCCCTCTTAGGTCCCAGAGTCCTCCTACCTCCCCCACCACTGACCCTGGGACCTCCATCAGGGAGGGTCTGTGTCGGGCGCCTGGTACTTGCTGCAGCCCAGCTGGGGCCGGTAGCTGCCGCAGGAAGGCCAGCCGGGCCTCCTGACCGGGCAGGCCCCAGAGCCCAGCACGTGGCCAGCCGGGTGCCCGCCGTTTCTGCCCCAGCGCCCCATGCGGCCCGCCACCGCCTGAGCAGATGGTCTTGGAAGTGATGGTGGACTGAATGGGGTCAGGAGGGTCTGCCGGCCCCTCTTCTCCTCTGTCTCTGCTGGGCTCCTCTGCCCTTGCCACCGTCCTGGAGATCCTGATGAGTCCCGGTGGCCGGTGGCACTGTGCAGCGTGGTGAGGGGGCATGGGACACGCCCCAGGCATCCCATGGTGCTGGGTACGCGGGACGTGGATCTGGGGGTGCTTTGGGGCAGTGGTTGCAGGACTGGAGGGTGGGAGGGTGGCAGGAGAGTGGCGAGGGTTGCAGGGCACCCTGCAGATGCCTCAGGGAGCCCCGGATGGCACAGTGAGCCCCTCACTGGGTGGCCTATGGTGGTGACTCCATGGAGGTCCCCAAAGGACGAGGTCAAGGGAACGCATGTTTGCTGAGAGGCTAGTCCTCAGGTAAGTGCTACCCTGGACCATTACCTGGTTCTCACCACCGCTTCATCACCCTGCTTCTGCCCTTCCTGGGGGGCCATTCTCCAGCCCCTTTCCCTGGGGGCTTTAGGTCTCAAAGTCCAGTACTTATTATGTGATCTTCCCCTGCATATCCTCCAGGTCAGCTGCTTCCCTGCAGCCCTGTCCTCGAACATTCCCATCTATGGTGTCCTTCCTGCTCCATGGGGCTCTCCCTCCCTCTGTCTCTCATTTCCAAGGGTCAGGGGAAGCCTTCCTTGGGCCTTTGCTCTGATCTTTGAGCTCACTGATGGGTCTTGTGGTCGGTCAGTCCTATGTGGGACCCCCAGGGCTGCCCATGCTATGAGGGGGAGAGCTGGAGCCCCACCTTAGCTCAAGGCTCATATCTGAGCCTTGTTCTTATCTGAGCATTTGCTCACCAATGTCTGGTGTCTGCTATCCTCTCAGGCTGGCGGGGGCCAGTACCTGGCAGAGAAGGGCATGTGGAAACCCCAGGAGAGTGAGGACAGAGGAGAAGGCTCTGCTGAGATCTGCTACAGAATTGGTGCTGTTATTCCTCTCTGCCTCAGGATCTTTGAACGTGCTGTTACCATTGGCTGATAGACAATTTTCCTGCATCACTGCC